CACAAATTTATACCCCCCACCTCAACAACCCCCCCCCCCCCCCCACCCCCCCAAAACCCCCCCCCCAACCCCCCAAACCCCCCCCCCCCCCCCCCTTATTAATCCCCCCCCCCCCCCCCCCCCAGAAGTCGTCCATTTCAAGAGGAAGCTGATATGCTAGATACAATGCAATGGATATGAAAGATAGATACTTGACAATATTCTATTTTTCGCTTCGAAGCCTTAATTTTAGTAGCATGATTGAGGTGCAATTATCCATACCACATTTATTATTGTCTTCTTTTAGTTGTTCTTCTATTGTTATATAAGCATTCCGCTCAATTCTTTCTCCATCAGGTGTCAGTATTTGACAAGTGATTTTTGATCCAGCCAAATTTGAGGATATCGGATAAATAAATAGCGTAAAATTCGTCAGAGTTTTGATATAATCGATTCCAGTCAGTTGGCTACTAAGATCTTGACCTTTAAATAACCTAACCATCATACAAACATTATTCAATAATATGAGAAAGTAAAATAATAGCCTACCATTTTATAGTACCAATTTTTTGTTTACATGTGAATTGAGCATGTTTTCCGAGAGCCACTGTTATATTCATGGGCATTTTTTCAAAAAACTCATCATCATACTCTAAATATATTTGTGTTTTTCGAGAACAAGTAAAATTCTGCTGATATTAGAACTTACCAGCGCCATCACATTCTTTCAAACAACTTTCATATTGATATCTATCGCCAACACATCCTGTTTGCTCATTTTCTTTCACCAAATTCGTATGCCATTGGCAAACACGTGTTCGATTACGTACACCATACAAGCCACACTTTGATTGACCACATCTAGACCACAATGACCATTGTGACCAAATGCCGATATCTAAAATAAGAAAAGAAAACTATTCAATTCTTGTTCAAGATCATTTCAAACGTGTTCTATCTAACCTTTATCGCAGCAAGTGCCAGCAACTCCTTGTTCACAAATACATTGATTTTTATCATGTGACCAATAACCAAATGTTGTACATGTTTGAGAACAATTTTCTTTTTGAATTAAATCATCTATCGTGCGATCACACTCTTGCATATGCGACGTAAAATCTCGCGTAGGCAATGAACACATTTGACGAAAACGAGTACGAGTACCACCGCCACATGTCCTAAAGAGCAGAATAGAATTCAACATTTTTTAAATAAACCTTTGTTATTCTTCCACTTACCTACTACACGGTTCCCATTCATGCCATTTTGTAAACGAACAATACCAGCTCGGCCAACACCATTTTCGGTACTTGATTGATATAGAGTCCACATTTGTCACATGTACAAGTATGAATAAACAGCAGGCTGTAAAAAGCATGTTTCTTAACAGTCACACTTTTTTATTCCAATTAAACTGCAACTATTCTTTTCTATTGTTGTCTGTTTCATTTGAATAATAATGTAAGTCGTTAAACATACATGATGTATAATTTTATGTCACACTCATACGTCAAAATTTACTTGAGTGGAAATATCTGTATGCGTAAAAGAACTTTTTCATTCTCTCCATTGTATATATATTTATCTAGATAGATATATATGTAGCCCTAATATATCATTTCAATCAATCATTCCTGTTGATTAAACAAATGATATCACGTTCTGCATTTTTGACACAACAATATTTAGCGCGAATATATCACACTTTTTGTAGAGTTTCTGACTTCTTATAATTATAAATCTTGCAATTACTGATGCATAACGAGTGTACATATGCCATCCTTCTTCGAACCGACAGATTTTCATCCACTAGATGACTCTTGAATGTCTCATCGACCAACAGACTAAGGCCTCGTCTACACTACAAAAGTTAAAGGAGCTTTAAGCAATTCTAGTGGCTAAAAGTTAGTTTAAGCCAATAGAATTGCTTAAAGCTCCTTTAACTTTTGTAGTGTAGACGAGACCTAAAAGCCGATTGTTAAGTGTTCAATTCAGATTTTTCTTTAAATACTGCAGATATTAAACAGTCGAACAATGATTTGCACTTGATTTTTGAACTGTCTCCAGCTTTTATTCGTCTTTTGGTTTGTATAACAAACGCAAGTGATAATTGACAAAGAATCACACTAGCTAAATCAGTGATGTTGCCTCACTTGCAGTAGTAATAGAACTTACACTCTCTAACAACAAGAATGAAATATACACTAACACACACAAAGTGAAAAGCTAAGGTACAAAGAGGCATCGTCGTGCGCATAAGGATAAAGGAAACAGAATAGGCACAAGTGAGCATCAGACATTCTTCTTTGTCTAGTCCGATAAGAGATAAACATCACCCATTTGAAATTATGTATCGTTTCGTACGCAGGATGTTTCATTTCATACACACGTTCGTTTGAAAGGAGACGCGCGTACGCATCTCCTGCGGAATAAATTTTCCAGCCGAGTAAGCCTCAATTTGAGAGCCTATCGCAAGTTTCAGATCCACCGATGTGCAATGGCAGGACCCTCGACCTGGGGGAAGAACATTGATGATCGTCCTTCACTCCTCTGGCAGGTAAGTATGCTTATTCCATCGACGACTCCACCTTCTTATACTCCACATAGCTACACAAATTGTGTGGTAAACACGGTGACTCATCATCTTTTCGTCGACCAGCGATGAGTCATCAAGAGAACACAATATGCATCATCTTTTACGTTCTTCATTTTTCCCTATGTGACTGAGTGAAGGGTCTTTCAGAAAATAAGTCGAACGTCACATGTCAACCATCTGCACCACACAAAAGAAAACTATACAAAACAAAACAAATTTTCCATCTTCTCATTCAGTTAGCCATTATAACAACAAGTGAGTCAGGGAAATATTGCACAAGAATTTGTTTACGTGTTTTGTTTTCTCTGTTGTGACTAAGTAAAGCATCTTCCAGAAAATAAGTCGAACTTCACATATTAGTAAGATAACGTTGAGAGTATGAGAAAGCTTCTTCTTTTTTGCTTACATCTTTTTTTATTTTTTTCAAAAAATTTGTTCTTTTTTTACTACTTCTGGCTCTAACCTTAGTTGTCTTACTTATTTTATTCTTTTTTATTACTCTTTTTGTGTTGTTTGGCTTGAGTCATTTATTGCAGGTCAGTGACCTTTGATGACTCTAACTTTTCGTGAATAAAACCTATGTTATGTAAGTTAAGCATCTAGCCAACCCCTTATAAGAATCCTGGATACGTCGGTGGCTGGGAGTCATTTCATTTCGAAGAGCAAACAACTTTTTTTCAATCGATGAGAAAGCAAACATTGACAGTTTATCTCATGAATGGATGGCTGCACACAATTTTCAAATTGGATCGCTTATTTTAACAATCTTACATATGTAAATCCAATCAAAAAATTGATTAACTAACGGATTTTGTTTAATACTTGCTTATGGCTTAAAGAGAATGTTTGCTCTGTCGAATGAGGTGTTTTTGAACTCTGTATAAACTTTCATGATCACACTATAGCACGATCAACTTGAAGAAAATGTAGCACACTTCCAGCGTTATGCCGACAAGATGCAACGTATACATTTGTAGCATTATACTGGCTCATATGTAGAGTATTCAACATGAACACTAAATTCACAGGCAGAGATTAGAACTGACTCTGTCATACAAAAGTGAGACGACAGCTCAATTGCCATGTTCATCCATTCGTTCAATCTTATTTAGTTATGAGTCACTGTTTATCGACAAAAATAATGAATTTTTAACTTGTTTTTCGATATTATTTTGGACTCGAATTAAGTATATTTTTACCCTAGAGTTATCACTGAGTGCAAAGAATCCGATCTCCCTCAATAAGACGCCGGGAGAGGCATTTTCATGCTTTATTTTTTCCGTTAAAGTAACTGACGACGATTTCTCACCTTATTTTTGCAGAAAAAACAGTCAGATATCGAGGAAATTATTTAATTTTCGTAAAGTAACCGGTCCTGTATACGCTTGACTCTTTGTTTTTGGAAAGAGACAGACATGGCGAGTTCCGTTACTTTTCTGAAAACTAAAGGATGTTGTAGATTGTGGAAATTTCACTTCCAGATACCGGAATAAATTCCCCTCGTTGCTTTATGAAAATTAAATAATCTCCTCGATATCTGACTGTTTTTTCTGTAAAAATAACGTGAGAAATTGCCGTTAGTTACTTTAACAGAAAAAATACCTTTCTCGACTTCTGTATTGAGGAAGATCGGATTTCTTGCACTCAGTAGTAACTCTTAGAGTAAAAATAAACTTAATTCGAGTCCAAATAACCATTGAAAAAAAAGTTAAAAATCCATTATTTTTGTTAGTGTTAGTGTGATGAATAATAAATCAATATTTTCTTTTGAAAAGCAGTCAACTAGTAAAAGGTAAAAACCATCATATTTGATCATATGCATTTTTGCGTAAGATAGTTGTTTGGAAACATTGTTCATAATACGATACGAAACACATCACAACAAAAATGCAAAACCTTGGAGGACTGAATTGTACCAGTCAGTTCTTCTTTTCAATAATGTCTTTTGTTGATAAATTAGTGATTTTACACACAAAGTGGTAAACAGGCGTATTGCAAGATTTACGCTTGCTCAAAAACTTTTTTTGTCATTTTTATTTCGCCTATACACACACGTACAACAAATATAAAACAACAAAAAAAATTCCAAGAACAACAGTGTCTTGGTTTTACAAGAATTCTGTAGAAAAGCAAAGTCCAAGATCAAATCACCGTAAATATCTATCTGACTTCTATACATTTTTATTTATTCTCCACCTCCCCGTCCACGACCACCACGTCCGCCTGCACCACGATCGCCACCAGGACCACCACGGTACGAATTCTAAAGAAAAAAAGACATTGATTAACATGATAAGCTGCTACACAAAGCATACATACCATCGCACGACCTCGACCACCTCGGCCTCGTGCAGCTTGAGCTCTAAATAAGAAGAAAGCCAAATAGACAAACAAAAACTATGAAAATATATTATTTACCTTAAAATCGCTGATTTTCCCCTACCCGCACCACCTTTAACACCTTTCATATTTTTGAACATTGGTGCATTTTTTAACATATCAGGAAATATCATAAACCGTATTTTTGATCCGCGTACATAAATATATTCCAGTTGCGCTTGTCTACCATCTCTATAGGTTACCGTAACATTAGATAATTGACAATTCATATTATCTTCAGCTTCAATCAATTTACCACGATATACTTCACTTGTTACTGTTTCGACAGTCACTACATGACCTTCAGCTTCATGCAAAATTTTGATTGGTACACCAATGGACATTCTTATTACGCTTTAAAAGGTTATTTACTAAATCTACAATAAAACAAAAATAGCGGACTCTAGTACAGCAAAACAGAACGATCGAGAGTGTGTCTATGTCATTACATAGAAGCTACTCAGTTTTTTCGATGATGGGAAAAACGCTATCATCTAACAACAAATAGTACTATCTTATTAATATAATTCAGCAATTTTAAAATTTATACATATAGGCAACGGACATCCGAACAAATTTGCTAACTCACGATACTAAAAAAAATATTTTGAATAACGCTTCGATTTGATGGCCGATTTCTTTTTTGTATTTATTCACTCAGCGAGCTTAATCGTTGACTAATTTATCCTATCTCACTATTAGCTCAGATCTTTATAGTAAATATGAAACCTAAATTACAACAGCAAAGAGCGAAATAGAAGCATTCAATTCTATGTTTCTAACAGAATTTATCCGCTGAGTGTACGAGTACGCTTTGTTTTCCCAATCAAAGAGTATGCGTAGGCTTGTTTTTTTTCTCGAAACGTACACATTTCAAGTCTAAAAACATTCTATTAGAAAACAAAGCATAAACTGTTTATGACAGTAAAGTGTACACTGTACGCTCTGCTTTTCTCAGCAAAGCATAAAACAGAGTGTATTTTTAAATTTCGAAGCGTATGTACGGTTTTATAGAGTGAGTATGCTTTACTATTAGAAATACTGAACAGGAGTGGTAGGACACAAGCACATTGAAACAATTCGCATTGAAACAATGACGAAGAATAGTTAGCCACAGAGAATAACATACAAGAGAGAAACAGTCAGACTTCAACAACAACAAGTAAACGCATATTATAATCGTAGCTACACGTTACGGTGAATAAAGAAATACTGTCCAATTTTACTATTATCCAAAGGTAAAACGCGTACCGAAAACGACTGGAAGAATGCTTTTTTGGAGCACTAATGCATTTCACCCTATTGAAGACTTTTTCTACCAAATACTTTCGAATTATCTGTCGACTAATGCTAAACAGTGTTCTTTAACCTAACTAGTAATTAGATAGATAGAGCTAGCTATCACTGTCGCTACTCACTGTATATTTCTCTATAAGTGGATAAATGTCGATTAAGACCATAAATAAAACGTAGAACAATATTATACACTTTTCATCAATTTGATTGCATTGGTCTATCTTTAAGTTTTATCATGTACAGTTTCTGGATGTCGATATTCTCATTTCTCATTCTTGTTTTACTCTCGATTTTTCAATAAAAAAGACAAAATATTATATATTTTAAAAATAATCCTAGTTTGAAGTTGACGTATTCGTCATCTCTGAATATAGAAAGTCTGTCTTGCAGCTACAAGAGCTCTGGTGTGCTGTCAATAGTGTTTTTGTGACCAATGGATTAAATATTTTAAAACATGTTTTGTATTGTAAAAGAGGAAAGAGAGTTTTCCATCGTTACTAAAGTAATAACGATAGCTGCTGGTCTGCATGTTTTTGTGGAAGAATCGAATGGACTCACTGTTTAATAAACTGTTTCTTGAATAGTTAATTTAGTCGCAATACATAGAAAGAAAAAGCGAAAAATCATTAAAGGAAAATAACAAATTAAAAATGTACTTCATCATTACTCTTCTTCACCTTCTCCACCGTCCATTAGATCATATCTTTCATCAAAACTGTCATCGCCAATCATATTTTGTCGTGACCGTAAATAACCGTCTGCTTTTAGTGAGGATATAGTAATTGATTTTGCTTCCTTAACATGATGAACATTTGTGATCTTTTGGTCTTTTGATAATTGTTCTAACTGATCTGTACCATTCTTTCGAATAAAGCTCAATTGTGGCAAAATCGACAATGTTGTTTGATTATTAGTAATCATATCCGATGTAACTGGAGATCGAACTTCAACATGAGATTCTGGAATGCTGCCAGCTGTTGACACGACATGCTCTTCGATTTCATAACCTAGAATATGAAAAGAATGCTATATTTTTTTCTTACATTATTTTAAGCTTCATATAAGTTTTTTCGCAAAATTTGATTGTTCAAGTCCTACAGAGGTCAAATCCTCAAAAATGGTTTAGTACAATTAGTTCTGTTATATTGCTAAAACCTGAATGAGTATGATTGTCGAAGTGTATCAAATGCACTGTTGCCTGCAGATTAATGGCTGCAATTTTATCTAAATGTTCTCCAGTCATTGTTGTATTGTTCAAGATTGCTTCCAGCGTTTGAAGGTTTTGATTATTATTTTGATTCGTAGTGTTCCAAACATGATCTGATATAGGTTTCTTGTCATCGAGTGAAGCAAAATGGATTGATGGTGGAGTGTGTTCTTGATGAGTGCCTTCGGGAGTATATGTTATATGAGATGCATCAGCGTAGTGTGTATTCGATGTGTGCATAGTCGGATTGTGATCATTATTTCCATTCAATGAATGATCGGTTGACTCATAGTGTTCATCACGATTGTAAGTAGTTGTCTCATGGTGTTGATCATCTGATAGATGTATAGTTGTTTCATATTGTTTTCCCGGAGTCGTAGGATTTTGATTATCATGATATGAACGGGATGTGGTCTGATAGTGCTCATCTGTGGAATGATGGTTTTCTCCCCCTCCATGAAGCTGCAAATGACTTTCAGTCATGGACGGTTGATTTTTATCTGGATCAGAATAAGTGGAATGATGATCGGATGCTACTGTTGAAAGTTCGTGTTCACCTAAGGTGAGATGGAAAATGGTTCGATTAAACAGTTTTGGAAAATAAAGTTGTGCACCGTAAAAAAGATATTCTGTATTATTACCCATTCCATGATTATCTCCCGATATTGTTGTTTCACGATTCACATCCAGTATTGTATTCTCGTTGATATGAACAGAAGACGTTGTTGAATCTGTGTGCTGTTCATTGTCATAATAGGAGGTAATAATAGCAGTATGAAGTGTCGAGTCTGTGTGTTGACCACCACCACTATTGTCCTCGTAATGGTTGAGATTTAATAACACATCACTTGATATAGTAACGCTCTGTGATTGTTCGACACCTTCATGTGTTACTGAAGAATGTAGATGACCGCTTGATGCTGTTGCTTCTTCAGAGTGAACGATGGATCCGTGTGTTGACGTTTCTTGATGATGACCATCTACTTGACCACCTAAAAGATAGGAAAAAAGTTATGATTGAAGAAAAGCTAGCTTCTACGGTTTGTTTTACCGTGTGTTTGATCGATATGGGTCGAAATCTGATGAAATTGATCTCCTCCTCCAAAATCTTGACTCTGCGTTGATGTTTCGAAAATATTATGAACAGAAAACAGATTATTTAACGTGTTAGAACCATAATATTGTGAATGGTTTTCTTTGCCTAGTACATTTAACAGTGTATTCAAATGTCCATCAGGTGTTTTGATTATATGTCCTTCAAATTGTAAACTTGAATTCGCTTTTACTAATACCAATATATCTTTTTTCTCTTTGTCTTTTAACATTTCGCTTGAACCACTAATACGGCTTGCTGATGGTACAAGGTCTTCTAAACATGAGAGAAAGGAGGTAACCTTTCATAATTGTACGTTTGAATAAACGAAATAATCAGTGGCCATATAACAGTACTATTCAGTTAGTGACATTTCGTGGTTCAGTACAGTGGAAAAAATCTTATACCGTTGCATGTAATAGCAGACATATGAATAGTTTATGTCATTTATAATAATTTCAGTTACAGCAACCTATACCTTAATTAGATGACTACACTGAACCACTCACTGTTACGTTAAAATGAATGAATAGTTTAGTAACCATTTGATAACAGTTATTACAATCAAGTAATTTTTGAAAAGAGACGAACAAACCGAATTTATACTATACAATGCAACCATTGTTAATGGAAATAAATACTGGTCTCTAATTCTTGGACTAGAATCTTACTTGGCACTTTTTGAATGCTAATTGTTTCTGTTTTATATAGATGCGTGTTTCCGAGCGGTGCCACTATTGGTGGACCAGTAAATCGTGATATGACAGGTGTAGCTTTGCGTGAATCTAATAACAAATGAAGTATTGATTTAAAAAAAATAGAAGAATTATTTCTTACTTGATAAAGCTAATGTTAAAATAATTGCACCAACAACAATGAATCCAATAAAAAATATTAAAAATGCTGCTTTACATATGGGTGGTATTCCATCACGTTTCTATCAATAAAATAGAGCCTATCGTAGAGAGAGAGAATTTAAGTATCAACTAAAATAAATGTCCTGTAAATAAAATGATATTAATCGAAGTTAATGGAAGATAATTCAAGACAGAATCTGACCATCTTAAACATTTCAATAAATACATTTGTACAAAATATTTTTGTGTCAAACCAATTATTATCGTTCATTTTAGCGAATATTGAACTAGTTAAATGTTTCATTAAACCGAAAAAAGAACTTTAAACTGAAGAAAATAGACAATTTACAGTAAATTTATAGTGTTTAATTCATATCCAGCTATATTAATAATTAATATCAACTATCATAAGTGTATAAACATTAATTATAATGATTCAAATAAAATAATGAACATATTTTTACTATTCTATGTTAATATTACCTTGACAACGATATCCGTAACACTATCATCCGTTTGTCCTAATTCAATATTATTTGTTCGTCGTATTGATGATTTATCTGAACTACTACTTTTCATCATACCAATTTGATGATATGTCTCAGTATTAAAAATATTATTTTCAAAGATAATAATCGAATAGAGTAAAAAATAAAAAATTCAAAATTTAAGTCGGTAAAATAGTATAAAAAAATTTTTTTTTAAAAAAGAAATAGATTAAGGAAGAAATTAAAAAAGATGTTTATACTGCTGTTGTTATTTTTTCTAAACCCAAAAAGTCCAATATCCTCAATCCGATATTTATTTATAATAACAATATTCTAAATGTGTGCGTATACATAGAGTGCTTGATATATATATATATATATATATACGTATGTAATCTAATTGTATTAAAAAGTATAAAGAATCGAGCAGGAGAGAGAAGAGTGATATTATTGCTCAGTCATTGTCTCAAGTTCCGTGCTAAGCAACGATGTTTATGTATGAAGTTTGTAGATGTATGTATAATTGTTCAAAAAAAAAAAAAAAAAAAAAAAAAAAAAAAAGAAAAAAATAAAAAAAAAAAAAAAAAAAAATAAAAAAAAAATTATTTAAAATTTATGATAAAATAATAATATTTTAAAAAAT